TATGGCATTTAATCATCTTAATAAAAAATTACGCAATTAATTGCGCAGTGATTATAGCTTTAAAAAAATATTCTGAGTTTGTTTACAACGCAACCAGCCATAAAGCGGTCAAAAATAACTAGCGTACAATTATTGGAGAGTCAGTGCATTTCATCATTAATTTAGTGATATTTATCGGCATAATATAAAATATTTTAGTTTTATTATGTTAATTACAGATCAAATTCCAACTTTTTTGAAAAAATAAAGTTAAATTATAAGTTTTAATATTATTTTAAGACCGGTCAACTATTGGATCCGTCAGAAGCCCTTTACCCAGTAAAAAATTCATTCGGTCATTTATTAGACCCTCTGATTTTATCACAATCCAATTAATCACCGTATATTTATAATACTAACTTCTTCACCTCAAAATTAAATCTGTCAAGTGTTTAAAGTACTTTAGTCATTCAATATTTTGTAAATATAAAAATAATCATTATAAAATGTATATTTATAATTAAAATAATAATTAAAATCTTTTTTGATTATTAAATTTTATTTTGTTGTAATTTTTTTAGTGAACGGTTATATCAAAGAACGAATTATTAGAAGAAAAAATTGCTAAGCAATTAAAAAGATAAAAAAGAGTTACAAGCTAGTAAAAAAGCTTTAATTGAAAAAAAGAAGGAGAAGAATAAAAAAATTTCAAGTGAATCAGAAGAATTATCGTGATCAAAATGAATTTGTGATTATTTGTGACCTAAAGAAATGTGACTTTATGTTAATTATTGCTATTATTTATATTTTATAAAAAAGTACGTTTTAAAATTATATTGTATGTTTAGTTTTGTTAAAGATGTCGTTAATACTTGAAAAGTACTGCATAAATTTAATTACATAGATGTAGTTTACAAAATTACTTATAATTATTTGAGCGGTGAATTAATTGGAGAACGCTCGGTCATTTATTGGGTTTCTTCGGTCAATAATTGGTGATTTTAGTATTTCAACATTCAAATAACAAAATTAATTTTTATTATAAATAGTTATTAATTATAATTAATTAAGTATTTAACTTGAATAAAATCCATTACAAATTGTTTTTAGTAGGTTAATAGATTTTTTATAGCTTGGTACAGAAAAAGAAAACCTCAATCGGTCAATAATTGGTGCATTTACCCTATCTTCATCTCATAAATAAATTTATTTGTAAAAATTTATAAAATTTTTTCCTTATAGGATGGTAACTGAAAGTTTCTACTTGAAAGCCGATTTAGAGCGATGGTTGTCGCCCGACATAAAGCGTAGCGATTACTACGATCTAATGGACACTTTATGGCGCCCAGTTGTCGATAAAGAGTTGAGCTTTATTATAAAATCCGCTGATGAAGAAGCGACCATTTTGGGAGTTGCATTGAATTTTGACGCTCATGACGAGCCTGACTGTGTCGTAACCTCAAAGTTATCCATTGTGTTTGAATTTCTTGAGTTTCTTGAGGGACCAATCAGGGAAAACAAGCTGCCGCGTGGAAAAGGTAAAATCCTCCATTGCTACATGATGGCGACAAACGAAAATTTGACTCCGGCGGAGAATGTTATCATTATGAACAAAATGGAGGAAGAGTGCCTGAATTTAGCGAGAAGAAAAGGTTTCATGGGGATTTTCACTACAAACACCAGCCCGTTGACTCAAGTAAGCCTTTTGTTTTATTGTATTAACTCTAATCATGATTGATGTTTATTGGTTATTATATTATCGATCGATTTTAGCAATTGGGAAACGATGTTTACAACTACGAAGTATTATTAGACTATCAAGTGAATCAGTATGTCGCTCCTGATGGCAGCAAACCTTTCGGAGAAGCTCCTGAT